ATATGTCTTGTTGGGATGAAGATAAAAAAATAAAGGGGAACAAAAAATACAAACAGCAAGCCAAAAATATCCAACAAAGCTTTGAAAATCGCTCAGCTGAATTGAGTTGATGTTCCCATCATTTTGGCTGTTATAATGGAGAAAAAAGACTCAGTTTTCAAAAGACACACAGAAAGAAAACATCATTTAATTTACCTGGCTGACAGTCCTCCCACTAATGGCAGCAGTGTGGTACAGAGTCGTATGTTTTGGTGAAGGTACGGTAATAATTTTAATGGTAGAGCTTTTGGCTCTATTCCGTGGATGAGTCAAGGAAAGCCTGGAACTAGGAGACATTGTCCTGCTGATTTCTGCTCCTTCGCAGAACCCAACATGATGCAAATGAATGTAACGTTACACAAATACAGAGCTGGGGAGTGTAGGACGCCTTTGCCACATGAGCCAATCGACGCTGAAACAATAGGCCGTTAAGCATTATGTGGCTGCGGGGGGCATTAAAATGGATGACTTCCCCCATAAATTCTGCAATTAATTTTGCGGCTCCTTCCACAGCTTTGTATGAGGCACATTTTTAAGATCAAAGTAAAAGGTGTGTAAATCAGCAGCCGTACTGGCACGCACAATTTACCAGTTTTTGCACCTGCCGGCATACTGCGCAACCCCTGGGGGCTGGCGGCGCACTGATGAGGGGGCCACCCGTGATGGTTTGGGCCCTGAAAAACAAGGCTTCTTTCAAAAGTCCAAACTGCAGCAGTATGAAATGCATTGTGGGGAAAAAAATCTCTGGCCTTTGTATGGGCACCGTGGTAGGGATAGAATGGGACATGGTGGGAGCATAAATTTCCTTTTAACATGTAAAAACCCTGTGTGAAAGTTGTAATCCTTGCTGCAGCTGAAATGACCAAAGAAAACGAGTAGCTGTTTGTGGAGTCAGAGCTGAGACAGGCATCTTTATGGAGTCATGGGGTCATCACCACCTCGGGAAATGCCATGGAACGACCCATTAAGATCAATGGGAGGAGAACCAGTCGGTGAGTATTTCCTAACCCGTAACTATGTGCTGCATTGGTCTCCTGCTGGCAAGTTCATGCAACGCGGGGATGCTGGGCAGCCTAGTGACAAACAGCCTCTACTACCGACGCTGTCTCCAAATCTGAACACCTTAAAAACGCAGCGCGTGTTGGTCACCGTGCAGGCGATCCGTTCCACTCTTAATTGCCTTGCCGCATACATGCCCAGCAGGCACTCTTTGACAAAAGAGGAGGCTCTATTTCCTTTGAAGGATGCACGACGATCCGACAGTCTGTTCACGGATGCGTCGCCGATTCCGGCCGCTGCTTACCATTTACCACGGTCTGGCATTTTGTTGCTGTAGCGACGGGTCATCCTTTCAAAGCCAGTCTATGATAGAGACAGATTGATCCCCTAAGGCTGGGTGGCGTTAATTATTTTGCATTAACATGTGCCCTTCATTGCAGTGAATACTAATATGAACCATGCAACAATTCATTGGTCAAACCTTTTATACCGTTGGCATTTAAAACAGCATAAAGTCAGGGCCGTGCCTCCATGCTGCTTCATGGTTTTGTTTCTTTACGTCCATGTTCAAAGGCTGCTTAATCACAACACTTTTCCAATTACTAAATATAAATCCAATTACCTTTGAACCTTCTGCTGTTAAGCTACTAAGTGCCCATCAATGCTACAAGCAATTAGCGCACGAGAGTGGGTTCGCATGTGAGTTTGCATCAAAGAGCCGTCAGAGAAAGTTAGTCTTGAAAAAAATCCGAACCGAGGGCATGAAATGTCGCACCCCGTATTCATGCACATTGACACTGGCGTTTTAATTAGCAAGCACACTTAGTGCAAACCTCACAAGGTCCTTCAGCCTTTAGGGGAGATTATTTTCACGGGATCTGAAAGACAGATGAGTTTCATGGGAGGTGGTCTTCTCGCTTATCTATCAAAATATAATGTTTTAGGAATGTCATTCTCTCTTTGTGTTTTTTTTCTGTAGCTAACACCAGAGAGGTGTGATGAAGAGGCCGCATTCACTCAGAGGAGAAATGCTGCTTCAGATTTTATGTGGGGGGGTGGGATGGGGGCGTTGTAATGCCAATCACTGACTGGCTTACAGTAATTCATCCAATTAGGTTACCTGATTAGCTCACACCAGGTTAAATCAGCCTCAATTCACCAATCACTAGCTTTTTTGTCTGAAGCCCTTTCCGCTTTTTCCGGAATCTCTTATCAAGTATGTGGCAGTTTCAGTTTTGTTAGCGGTCAAAAAAATAAAACACTTAAGTTAAAAATCCCTTGGTGCCACAGTCAAAGCCATAAATGTAAAATTTTAGTCTTCTTTTCTTTTTCCTAAGCAATAACAAACCTGCCACTGAACTAAGTACTTATGTCTGCCTCCCACAAATCTTTTTGACATTCTCTATCACAATGGGCACAAATGTTCAAGGCTGGAGGACCTGAAATTCTTCTCAAAAATGTCCTAGAGGTTCATCACCCTTCCTCCTGGCCAAAAAAGAGTTCCGCCCACACATGCAAAGTAAATGATGGCCAGTGACCTTTGGCGTCAGAGAGAGTCCTGTGAAATTGCTAGAACCTTCCATCCTGATGGACGTTTTTAGTGGCGAAGAAATTCTTGTTTGTCAGTTCAGATGCTTTGACACTTAACTACGGAACTCTTACCAAAATATCTGTTTCTGTGCTGCAAAAAAATGAAGCTTTCTTCGTTCTTTGCAAAAGAGTTGGGTGATAATAGAGGACAAGGTGATGAAAGAGAACGTGAGTATGAGACCTTGCCGGCAGCAATACTGACAGCCCCCGTTTGGTGTAGCGCACAGCTGCGTCGTGGCGTCTGTTACGAGCTCCAGTTTCGTTCAGTTCTCAAACATGCCGCAAATATTCCTGGTTCCTTCTCTGCCGAAACGAGACCAGAGTGTTCCCCACAGTTTGGCGTCCCATTTCGAGTTTGGTGGCCCGGGCGGATCTGCTCTGTGTAGCTTACTTGAATTCACTGAGCATTCTGGAAATGCTAGGCCTTCACTCCCAGTGACTCCCAGTTAACCCACACTGTGTGAGGAATGGAGGCGGGGTTTGGTTTTGTCCTTGAACACGTTAATATACTGACTGATGTAAGAACAATTTGGGGGGAAAATATTTGTAAAAGCTACTGCATAATGAGAGTACTGTAGACTAAGGTGCTGGAATGCCAAGCAGCTGCGAGACGATGTGTTTACAAAACCTGCAGTTTTTTGCAATAACTGAATTCCTGTCAGCGGTAAAAAGGTACAGATACAATTGGCTGCATTTTTTCCCCTCATTCTACCAACGCCAAGGCTTCCGCAGCTCTGATCGAAGATGGCATTGCTGAGAAAGCGTGGCTTGCCCCAGCTGTGATTATCAAGGACTTGTTTTGTTTATTTTTGCCGTGGGTTTTACTCATGAACCCTGAGAGGACTCCTTGGATGGGAGGGATCTGAGAGGAAGCCGGAGATTTCCAGGTAAACGGACTTAAGGTATCTCCACGGATGCCGGCTTTCCAGGGTACTGAATCTTAATTATCTGTTAATAAGCTTTACAGCAGTACACTAAGCTAAAGGTAGCAGTTTTCTGATGGCTGAAAAGAAGTCGGGGAATGCCTCCGTGTGCTGGTGGGTTTGTTTACGAGCTCATGCAGAGCTACAAAAGGTTCTTGAACAAAAAGCTTTTCAAAATTTATAGCCTGGCCAGGTTTTTAGTTAAAAAATCGTTGGTATTAAACATTTCTAAAAAGTAAACACACCCTTTTTAGAGACCAGTGCCGTATAATACGCACGCAGGTGTCTGGCCCCCCCAAGGGCTGTGGCTTCAGATCCATAATAAAGACGTTTTCCACGACGGCCAGTGGTTTTCCATGTCACTGGGGCACTTATCTCATTATAACGTCCCCCTTCCGTTACAGATCCATGCCAAGGAGGATGAACGTGCAATCGCTGATCACCACCCCCCTACTTCTTGCTAAATTGGGCGTTTATCTCTGACACCCCACCCCCGCCATTTGATGGGGGAGCCGTGGCAGTCAGGACGGCGTGATTAAACTCTTTAATGGTGCCTTATCTTATCTCATCCAGGCACTAGTTTCTTGCTTTAGCTACAGGAAAGAACATCTGACTCATGATGGACATCCGCACCTCGTGTCTTTAGACCCCTAGCCGTGTCCACACCCCATGTGCAGCCTCACATCCTCCGAAAGCAATTATCCATCCATTTTCGTCAGTCGCTAATCTGGCGCAGGATCGCAGCAAGCCTGGGGCCCAGGGTGCACAGGGCATAAGGCATCGACAGAACAGCAGTGTACTGCAGTGCACACTCTAACACTCCCAATTCAAGTGAAGGCAAGTAAAGCCGTATTGCCATCTCAGCCATGTACAATACACAATGAAACAAAATAACATTCTTCTTGGACACACGACGCAACATTCATAGCAGGACAGATATTACAGTGCTAAAGACAGAGCTCTGGAATAACTTATGTTGTGCAAAAAAATCCTGTACAAATATCAATAATTTAAAGGAAGAAAAGATAGAGGGAAGACTACTATCTATATTTTCTACCTAAGATAAAAAACATTTGACATCAGACAAACAATCAGCAGGCAAATAGGGAGGCTGCAGGACCATAGATACCCTGGCAGATTCATGGGGCCCCCACACTTTATAGGGGGCCTGAATTATGCACAATCCATCCATCCATTTTCAGTGCTTGTCCTTTGCAGATTTGTGGGGGGGTCTGCAGTCTATCCTGCAGACTATGGGTGCAAGGCAGGGAACAACCCATGATGGGGCGCCAACCCATCACAGGGCACACCAGTCACTCACACACCAGTCACTCACACACCAGTCACTCACACACACACACCTACAGGCAATTTGGTAACTCCAATTAACCTCAGCATGTTTTTGGACTGGGGGGGGGGGACCCCAGAGGAAACCCCACATTGCCATGGGGGGGACATGCTTCAAACTCCACACACATCGAACCACAGTGGAGCCTCGAACCCTGGTCCAAAAGGTGTGAGGCAACAGTGCGCCACCATGCCACCCAGTATATAAAACTATACCTTCACAGTGGCCTGAGAGGGCAAGGTGACATTTTGACAGGGGGAGCAAAATTTCTAGTTACACCCCTGGACATGGTACACAACCCTGGGAAATTAATGCATGCATTATGGGTAATATATGAACAGTAGTTCACTTAATGTCTTTGGATTGTGGTTGGAAACAATACAAACAAGGAGGGGAAAAGCAAACTCTAAAGACAAGGCTATGGATAGACGTCGAAGGCGCCACCATAGAGGTGTGAGGCCAATGAGGTGCCCAGCCAGCTTCCTCTCCAGCCAGAAATGCGATGAGCCAGGATGGACACAATATTCATTGAGGTTAATGTACATATACCAGAAGAGGACCTGGACAAGTCTCTGTAGGCTGGAGTAGTGGGGGTATAGAAAGGTTAGTGGGCGTGCCCAAAGGTTTGTGGGCGTGTCCAAATGTTTGTGGGTGTGTCCAAAGGTTTGTGGGTGTGGTGATAGGTGGACATGTTGACAGGATTAGAGTGTGGTGAAGCAGGTGGAACCAGGCATGTCATTTTCTTTGCGCTTCCTGCAAGTATGGCAGTAAATGTTAAGCGCTAGAAAATGAACAAATATGAATCAGGCATTAAATTATAGATGTGTGTTGCCTGACCTATATGTGTTGATGGAATGTCTGGTCTCTTTCTGAAATAACATTTATTGACAACAGCATTTTTGGTCAATAGAAGTAAACCTCTGGACACGCCCACCTTTTGATGCACCAGTGCTCGCTCCTCGTAGAGACCCGTGTCTCGAGCTGGATGGAGTCACACGCTGCCTTTCTGCTGCTCTCACCTCATCTCACACGTCAGGATGTTAATTTATCAATGTCAGCCGCCTTGGGCTCTCGCAGCCTGCAGTTGAGACACCGTCGTGGGGCAGATGGAGCACTAGAGGACGATGGGGGAAGTGACCCTGGATATGGAGCCTGGCTGCTGCCGGCTGCTAGCAGGAGTCTCCCTGCTCGGGACCCCGTGATTAGACTTGGATTATTTTCCATCTCCCCCCTCCGGTGATCGTGCCCCTTTGCTACTTCTCTGATTTTTCAGAGGAGCGTAAAACAGCTACATATTCAGGCTGCGCTGTTTATGGAATTAAATAAAGCTACGTAGTCAAAGGCAACACGCACAACAGAACAACATAACAGGCTCTATTAGCGCAAGCATCACACATAGTAATGCTGTTAATGTAGAATAGTGATATTGAATTTTTTTGCCTATCCCATTTTGGTCTCGATGAGACACACATGCAGTTGAGAGCGAGCTTGGGGGTCACAGGACAGGGTCTGCCAGCATGGAGCTGGGGGTTAAAGGCCTTGCTCAGGGCTCATGGACGTGTACCCATTCTGCCATGGCTCCCTCCGGTGACATTCCGGTCATTGGCACAGTGGCGTAGCGGAGCGCTGTATAGGATACTGTGTGAGTCACACGCCATTTCCAGAGTAAGGGGTAAAGTTCATATGAATACTTATAGCAGGCAGACGTGGAAGGTTCCGAAAATCCAGACCAAGATTTTGTTTCAACCAACCAATTGAGTATAAGGAGTGACAGTTGCAGAGTACAGAACTTGTTGGTTAAATGAGAATCTTGGTGTGGATTTGTACTTTCTGAACCTGAATTTTCTACAGGAGTTTGGTAGTGTGCAGAAGTTTGCAGTGTTCAGTGCCTGCAGTGCTAGTATGAGATACTGAGTGTGTTTGGTAAGGCCCCTCCAGGAGCCCCTACAGAGAGCCTTCAGCTGACGGGTCTGTGCACTGAGCCACTGCACTCCAAGCTGCGAAGCTAAATACTCGACATGGCCCGCGTGACTCGAACGCCTCCCTCCCTCTGCTGGTCCACCTGGCACGTCCAGCTGCCTGCTGCTGGCACTGCCAGTAGCGTCCCCCCCCCCCACAGTAATCCAGTGCATCATCTGGGTCACTGGGCCCAGGAAGAGTCCCGTGGGCATATCCGGGGCCTGGGACTAAGTAGCGCCATTATCACTAGGGTTCTGTGAAACGACCTGGTCTGTAGATCTGGCTGGATGAGGGAAGCAGGCGCCAGGTTCTCTTTGCCAGCTTCGGGGGAGGGGGGGGGCAACCGAATCTCTGCTCTCTTGGCAACAGGCATTACCATGTCTTTCTGAAAAGCTCCCCCACCCAGGAATCCTTGCCATCAGTGTGTATCAAATCTCTTACGACTATTGAAAGGGTGCAACCAATCGGCTATTACGACTATTGAAAGGGTACAACCAATCAGCTCTTACAACTACTGAAAGGGTGCAGCCAATGGTATTTCAGCAATATGTTAGATCAAATGTGAAAACAGAAAAATATGAGCTTCACTAGTGTAGTACAGTGTAGCTGGCTTAAGGGAAAATCCCAGCATTAAGCCAGTGCCCTGCGATTATATACACCATGTGAACAACTGTGCGCTTTGAAACCTTGTGACTGTTCTGTTTTCATAAACGTAGACCTTCTGCAATGAAAAAGGATAAGGAAGAAGATGCATGTGAAATCAACCTCCATTCTCAATGGCATTTACATCTGTTAATAACATTCAAAATACAGGAAAACAGCCTCACTCCTAATTGTAATACACCTTTCAGAGTGCAGGACCACAGAAATGAGGCTTGGTGTATTTTTACCTTAAATGCAGATGCACGGAATATGATGGATGAAGACTCCTCCCTCACCTGCTTTTTGTGATATCAGTTCTTTGTCTGTAATCATATTACTGGTGACTTATTTTATGCCTTATATATTATTACAGGCAGTCCTCTGGTTAAGAACGTCTGACTTACGGAGAACTTATCCGTATTATATATGCAAAATTCAGGTTAAATACAATGGTTCAGGTTAAATACAATAACGAAGGCACGGTATACTTTATGATGCTTGTGAAATCATCGCCCGGCTTCAGTAGTCCGTTGGCTCGAGGTTCAGTACTGTAAGTAGTTACCTTAATTACTACTGTATATTATTATAATAATTATTATCATTATTATTGTTATTATGTACTGTATTGTTATTTTTCCAACTTACCTTCGACTTAAAGACAGACTTAGGGAACGGATCAATGGCCGAGCCTCACCCTGGGTGAACCACCTTCGCGATCATGGTATCTCTCCTGCCAGGTAAGTATTTGCTGTCACTTTTGGATGAGCCACAAAGTGCTATAGTGATATATTTATGGAGACTAGCGGTATATTACAGCGCCATAGTTCCTGGTTCTCTTATTACCCGGAAGCTAGAGAGAACAAGTTTTTAAACACCGTACATCATTTAATATAAATACAGATGAACTTAACACCTCTGTTCAGAGCCCATCTGTTACTTATTACATTAAGGTGGTGAACCAGCCCATTCATTGTTAGCATACCTGTAAGAAAAAAATACTTTTTACTCCAATGTGATTGAATATGATGGAATTAGGAGGATTTCAGCGCTGGACTGGCCTCTCCCTCACCAACCCATATTTGATGCATTGGCTTCATCGGGGTGGGTGTTAACAAACAGGATGAGTCTAATGCACTAATTTGCGCATAAGGTGTCTACTGCCAGTTGCCTGAATGAATCCCACTAATGGGCCATATTTTACATCCGTCTGTCCAGGACCTTCCTTGCAGCGGATCTCGACACCGAGGCGTTTTACGGAAGCCAGATGGGAGGTAACCATAGTCACGCGTCGCCAGGAAGTGTCCGGTGGCAGACGGGAGCCGTTCCTACAGGTCCTGCATGCACCATCGACCCGAGGCCACAGCTTCATTTGTTCTGTTTTTTTTTTTTTTTACTGCTTATTATACAAAAAAACTTTTGGAAAGTTTCTCTGCTGCTGTGAACCGCAGCACGTTTTATTGACCTGGAATCTTCCGTGTCATTCTGGCAAACACCGACTCTCCGGTATCAAAGGCCTTCACATGATCACTGAAGCTCCTTATTCGCGAGTTCCTCTGGAGATGGACTCAGCTATAGTCATGCATTTTTAATGCGGAGCGCTGTATGGGATACTGTGAAGTTCACTTCTGAGGGCTCCAATTAGATACTTTGTTAGCATTGATTCTAGTTGGCTGGAAAACAATAGGCTCAGATTCCACAGCATTTACCACACAAAGTAAAAAGTGGTATTCAGTTTTTAAATAGAAATATACAAAATATTTTGGTGTAAATCAGTGGAATAGTTAGTGAGTGTTGACGCAAAGCAGAACTTTTTGCGCTATAAATGATTTTGCGAGAGGAATTCACACATTACACGTTTCATTTTGGGGCCATCTGGAATATTCTTCAAAGCCCCAGTAGCCATATCCACAAAAAGCAGTTGGAAAATGGATGATGCTGTGTCCTCTTCATTTATAATTATAGTGTAAATGCATCTTAATAAAAATGCAAAAATTTCCCTGGACCCAAAATATATTTGGATGTACTACATTTCTTGAAAAGACAGAACTCGTAATTTGTCAAATGTTTACTTTTGAATTTTATTTTGTAATTAAGATCCTCATCTATTCCTGTATGATTCCATTCAGGATAATGAGGTGATGCATTGTAGAGGAGTTGTGATTGTGGAAGCTTTTCTCCACATGGTAGAGGGACACAGCAGTCAGATTTTTCAGATAATAATTTCTAATTATATAGATTATGCTTTGTTTTATTTATTACAAACAATTTAGTGTTAAAGACACATGAAAGGTGTTCCATTAAGATCTCTTTCCTGCACTGTTCCTAGCAAACCCAAATCATCTTGAATTATCTGTGATTCATTTAGCGGTACCCACCCATTTACGGCTGATGTATTCAGGCTGAATTACGCATAGTTCAAGGGTTCAGGAACTCATGGAAATTCTGCGACAAAGCAAAAGTGACGCTGGGAAGATGCTGGAGCAAAGTATAACAGAGTGGGATTGAGAAGGTTTAAGAAGTAGGTGCGCGTTGGACATGACCAGTGATGGCTTGTTATGCTAATTAGTGGAAGGGCTGTAATGGAATGCATAAATGTGTGGATTATGTAGACAGCATGAAAATATATGAGTGGGAAAGGGAAGAGGGGGCCACAGGAAGCGGGCTCTAACACACCATGCAAATTACACTCTGCCATCGGGTTAATTTAAACTTTTCACACACCATGGACACATGTGTCAGCGCCGCTGGTGTGGTGGACAGATGCCAGAGTGAAAAAGCGACGCCTCTCGTGATGCTCTCTCGGATGACAAGCGTGACGATACCAGCCTAGAATAGAAGCCTGAGAGCTTCACCTCCGTAAGCCTGTCGTCTTTTCTGCTGACTCTATCGTCCTTGGATCGTCACGCCGCTTTATAGGGCCGATTCCGTTGACGCGTCTCAGTTTCAGCGGTGAAGCATCTTCTGTCTCCCATGGAAAGTCTGCCGGGGCAGCGAGTGAGAATGACCTTTCTCCCGTCTCTGAGGTATCCGTGACAAGGGCTAAAAGAAGCAGACTTGACAGCAAAAGCACCCACAAACTCTGTTGGCAAAATAGCCCCTGGAGGAAACTGACTTATAAAGAGCATAACGAAACAGTTACAGTGTGCTTCAGTTAAATAACCTTTAGTGAATGGTGAACTTAGCTGTCTTAGTTGCAGTGAGGGATACTTAAGGTGGTTTTTTTTTTGGGTTCTCTCTTGCTGCTCAAAAGCATTAGTCACTGTGGCTAACTCTGTACTGTACTGTACTGGAGTTTCCTTAGCCAGGCATGAAATGCATTAGCCACGAAATCACTCTCGCGTAGAAAGTGGGACCGCTTCCACAGATGCAAAAAGGTCAAATTTGTGTGGCTGTGACACTACGTATCGGCACATCTATCTAGCAATGTTACCATTGGCAGAACGCATTTTTGTGCGTGTGTTTTTGTCTTCTTCACATCTCGAGATTCCTTCCTCGCTCAGCCACAGATCAAAAGCCTCCTCAAAGCCAAACTTAGGTAGAGCAGAACCTTCTAATCTGACCAACTCTTTCGGCTCTCAAGCGGCCCTTTTTTATTTTTCAATAAAAAAACTCCTTTATTTTCATTTAATAAATGGCTCTTCACATAAGCTGGCTTTCGTCGTTCAGATATCCACCTAAAAGAGCCGGTTCTTAGAACCAACTAATTTGCAAATGCCCCATCACTAGTTTCGACCCACTTGTCCAAGTGAAGGTTGCGGTGGTACTAGAATGTTCTCGAGAACCTGGAAAGTAAACAGCATATCACTAAAACACATTTAGTGTAACGCACACTCAAAAAAACTGCTATGGTCAGGATTGCGAGTTCACACATTCACATTTTAATCAGGATGCGGTGAATGGCTAGCAGTCGTCTAGTTTTGTAGATATGCTGAAAGCTGAATGCTTTACCTGAGCAGGTCAAGTTAAGTGCCTTTCTTTACCAGGCTTTCTCTGAGACTTCAAGCAGAAAAACATGTGTTACTAGTCCATGACATTTAACCACTATCCTACCTGATGCTCCATGCTAGATGTTTATACCTCCCAGCCGTGCATCAATTAATCATCGACCTCCCTGATTTAATAAAGAAGTAATTGTGTGATTGAAGCTGACACAGCCTGCTAAACTGAAGCTGTGCGGGTTGGTGCTGTTTGATTGGATGCCGTTTGGTCTTTCCAATGCAGCGGCAACCTTTTTTGATCATACAATCAAATGCATATTTAAATTTCCATAATAAATGAAATATACAGTTTTTGTTTCCCTCTATACATGAAATTGTACTTAAAGCAGTTTGTAGCATTTTTGTGTTATACAGTTTCCTTACCGTCTGACGGCCATGACTGATTCTTTAAAGTGTGTTTTCAAGTACGCTGGCAGATGGCGATTGATGGCAGGTGGCTGTTTGTCGGTCGGGCCAGAGGTGTTGGCTTAAGTGTGGAATCCACAGAACTCAAAGCAGAAGGTGAGCTTTGCATGTAAGACCGACTAGATGGAAATTCCTGAGCTGTGGAGCGTAACATACGCAGGGCAGAGCGGCAGAATGAGGCCCACTGGCTAGTGTGATGTGAAGCTTTGGGAGTCGCCCATGTTATTGATTTGTTTTGACATTCTTGAATTTAGTCATATAAAATTATGCAAAAAGACCCAAGAACTGGCAGATGATTCTGTTTCATGCTTATTTTCCCCCCTTATGAAATATGCTTATTTTTGCATTTGTTCTCCCACATTTACATACTAAATGATATTCAGTGATTTGAAATAATTTAAAGTAAAAAAAATATATATACCAAAGTACTGGGGGGATATAAAGCAGGATTTCAAGTAAGACCTACAGTAGTAGCTGGTGTATAAATATGAAGCAGTGGAGAAATTAACTCAGAAAGCCATGAGTTTGTGAAGGGAAAACAGTTCTTATTTCTGATTACTGTCTCAAATAAATGGAGTTATGCAATACGGATCTAATTAAATCATTTTAAACATTTATTTCTTGAAATTCGGTTTCCGTTTTTCACTTCACTAAATTATCAGCAAGTCTGAGTAGACTTCAAAGTGACTTAAAGTCATCGCCTTCTTTTTATTTGACTGTGGCAATTAATTTACATAGTAAGAACTTACAATTATTGGGTGGTTTATTTCCCAGAACCACATACCCCATTCACGGTTATGATCATCCTTGGGTCATCAGAACCAGGTATTCCCTGGATGCTGTTTTGAATGGCACATTCAATGCCACACGCACACTGACGGGCAATTCAGAGATGCCATATCACCCGTGACAACAGTGTAGCTTCAGACTGCGGGAGCAAATCAGAGGACCTGAAAGAAACCCAAGTGGACACTGAGAGAAGATGCATACCCCACCATATAGCGGTGTGATATTTCCGACCATTCCTCATTTTATACTGGTTTTCATAAGCTAGCTGAATATCTGCAGCAGCTGGTTAATTATGACTATCAAACCATAACATGACATCACATTTTTTTTGGCAAATTTGATTGGCCCATGTGATTAATCCTTATGTACAAATGCACATGACATTCTACCAAATTGCTCATTTGCTGTCGGGTCCTATGAGTTCCAGGCTAAGACACACAGCAGTTGCTTTTGTGTATCATGTGATTTGAATCCATTTGCAAACAAGAGGAGGCTTGATCTACAGATGGGTCATTATAATAAGCATTTTAAGACACCACCCCCCCCCCGCAACTTCCTTTTCAAGCTGGGGAGTGTCAAATGTGTATTAATGTGGCGTACCGCCATGCCATCCCCAACCTTGTTGGATCACCCTGCCCGTCAACACAAGCATCCCCAAATGACACCGTTCCACCTCGCTAATCCTGCTAATGAAGGCGTAAACGGTTTCGGCAGGACGAAAATCAGATGGGTTACGGAGATTCCCGTGGCGCCGCTATGTTACCCCATGGTCGGATTACTTCTAATGTTATTCAGCGGGGCGGCAATGTTCTTAAGGTTCGTGCTTATCTGGGGGAGGCTGGTCGAACCGGGGCCTGTGCTGTCAGCGACGAGCTGAAAGGCAGGTAAGCCGCCACGCTCAGATAAACCTGAGGGGGTTGAGCTTCATTCAGAGGGAATCCGTAAAGCGCATCGTTGGATGCTATCATGTCATTCGAGGTAAATACCTCTGCACGTGTCTCCTGAAAGCCCTCAGAGAGATTCCACCTCAATGGAGGACCCGCATGACGAGAGATCGGCATTTCATCTTTGATTGAATTCGTGAGGGAGGGGGGGGGCGTCGCTGATTCACTGCCTCCCTGGTGTCCTGTTTAACCCCTTCTTCATCTGGCAGGGCGGTGTTCCCCATCTGAGTGCAGCTGATCTACATTAAAAACGTGGGATTTGGAGTTCTTTAGCAAGTTTCAGAGCATGTGTGTTAAGGGCAGCCTGTTTCGCACTGAATCCTAAATCCAAACACAGCTCTTAAATCTTTAATTCACAAGGCTGAATGCCTAGATATAGAGCGGCTGGCTCTTAGCCTTAGACAGATTCAGTAAATATTTTAAATTTGGTTCTGTAAAGCAGTCCTTGTCAGATTACACAATAACATTTCCCCCTGATATGCCAGTTTTTAGCCAATTTGTTAAACAAGGTCTTTGAAATCATACAGATGCCTGGAAGGTTAAAATTATTAATCATGTCCTTGTCCAGTTCCGTGTCATTCTGAGCCGTGGACCATAAAACTTCCCCTAATATTTATTTTAAGTGAGAATTTATTTTGTTTCTTCATTTACACAAAGCTAATATCAGCTTGACCCAAACAATGAGCTCCCTCCCCATCTGCGCTAAACAGCTAGCGTGTGTACCGTGTGCCAAAGTCATTGTGGCCGTTTGATCCCGGGTAACGCATCTGACGTGAGTAGGGAGGGGTGCTCTCTTATCCCAGTATGGCACACCGGGGTTTTGTAAACCATGTAGTCCCTGACAGTCGGGAGGGGGAGGGGAGGTGAGGCGCTTTTTGGAAGGCGAGAAGCGAAATTAAGAATCGAGATTTTATGCATGCAACTGGCAGCCGTTGGAATGTAATTTGATACGTGGGTTAGGATAAGAAAGCTCTTAGATGGATTTTTCAGCTAGGAGTGAATATGCATTGTCGTAATTCAGCATAGCCACTGCCTGGACTCTACAAAGACAGTACAGATGTTTCCTGAGCCCATGGGGGGGGGGCAGTGTATCTGAGCAGCGTGCCAAGCACAACAGCCTATTAATAATCTCCCATTGAATTTCATAATCCCCTCTCAGAGCCGTGATTTGCATTAGAACTTAGACACTCTCGCAGGAGCTGTGTATCTAGTTCTCATCGATAACTCCCCTCAAACCTCTTGCTCTTTCGTAAAAACCCAAATGAGTATAATTCAAACACGATGGACTTCATTAATACTCATCACTCATCATCTAGAAAAGTAACTCCATAGAGCCAGTGATTATACGGATTTATATAAAAAAAAAAAACCCAAATTAACGAATAAAGTTGGAGATTAAAAAAAGACATTATTCCTCCTGAAATCTCATGTGTATTGTACTTTATATTGTATATGCTCTCATTAAACATTTAAAGACTTGGTTGGGAACCATGGTTAGATCGTTTGAAGAGCTGGCTCTCACACAAAGGCAACAAGCACGTGAAATTAATCTGCCCCCCATCCTGAGGGTGGTTCTTCTCCCAGCCCGGGTCGTTCTTAGGGGAATAAATATTTATCCATGGAAAGACGACCCACGGTGTGGCCCATTTTCTTTCTTTAACTAGCGCACGGAGAGATATTATGTAACGGATAAATAGGTTGGCCACATGAAAAGTGTCAGCCCCGTCACTAATAGCCGTCCCCAGCGACGTCGGCGTGATTAATTTCCTGAAACGCTGAAACACCAGTTCGCCCGCCATGGACCCTGACCAGGATGAAAGGTTGGAAGACGAATGGATGGAAGTTCTAGTTGGTGTACAGACAAGCAACCATATTTTGGGACATTTTGAATATATTTGTTGAAAAGTATGTAACTGCGAATCAGGTCCTGCTAATTGACCTCCTGGTTACTGACATAGATTTATAAAATTGTAAAAGAAACACCCAAGAACACGAGGCTTCATAAATACATTGTCTGGCATCTATAAATATCTATTACATGGTATGAGAATAGCTGGCTCATCTTCAGTCACAGGCCCAGTCTCCCTACAACGGTCCACCTCAGACTGAAGAATACTACAGAAACCCCCCCCACACACCCTGCCAGCCACCCCCCACCCTGCCAGCCACCCCTCCTTCTTCCATTTCTTCTCCTTCGCAAGCTAAAAAGGGCTCCCCACTTACCCGCCGTGAACATCAATCTCACTCAGTCGGCAGAACCCGGCAGGCCATATGGACCTACGGTGACGGTAAGCCGGTTTCGAGGCGTGATGGTGTTCCTGATCAGGCAGACTTCCCCAGTCCCACGAAAACTAGCTGTCATCGATCCCTCCACTGTGGGAATTTCAGCTAACAGCTAATTATATACATGTATATAATTATGTACAAAGTCGCTGAAGCTTTGTTTATAGCACATATTGTTTCGCTGTCTTAACCCGACCAGCTGGGAGCTCAGTGGGTAAGAATTGATGGGTCTAATGCAGATGTTTATACGTCCTGTCACTACCCTGCCTAATGTGGTCTGTTTTCCTCTTTTTTGGCAGTAGAGCACCACTTGCGAGGCTAGCTAAACAGCATGTGGATGTGGGGGGGGGGGGGGGAGTGATTGACCTTCCATGCGTCAAGCAGCATTTCCTGACGCGGTCTCCTCTCTGGCCCGGTCTGGATTTCTCTCTTTGTTTAACAGCAGAAAGGAAACCGGGATGCCGACCCAACGGACTTCCCAACACGGGTGACTTTTGTGCCAATCGAAACGCAGCAGAAGGAGCATCCGAAGATACCTGGGGAGCACAGGGGCTCTGAGTGCTGCGGGGGGGGAACAGCGACGGGGGCAATGAGGCTTTTCAAACCAGCAGTCAGTGCCAATGCCATGACCACTCAGTCACTGCCACATTGAAGCCAATGGGAATCAGCATGCTGCCGGAAGCTTAGGGTTACAGTTACTTGGCTAAAACACTTGTGGACTGACTTCTCAGTTACCCCTGCTCTGGCCACTTGACCAGTGTTTCCCAACCCAGTCCTCTGGAAACCCCGGACAGTGCATGTTTTTGCTCCCTCCCAGCTCCCAGCCAATCAGGAAATATTAGAGTGTGGAATGGATTTGCCAGTGGGAGAAAATTATGGAGCATTTTAAGCATTCACCACTTGCGTATTCCCCCCTAGGAAGGTATTCAAATTGAACTCCTAATCCCTCAAAAACGCTTAAAACAAGACACACAAGCAAGGTGGAACAGTACCTTATGTATGTCTCTAGTAGCCTAATTAAAGATTTTTTGGCATACATGTGTATTTACTAGTTAAAAAAATAATTTATAAGTTTATCATTTATAAAGTGTGTGTGTGTGTGTATATGTATGTATATATATATATATATCCTCCTGAGACCCAAGGGAAAAAAGTGTCCTTCAATTTTAGGTTATTTGCCTTTGGAGGAAATAAGACATCTTACAATTTAGATTTTTTCAAATGTATTTTTATTTTTAATTTCACAGCATGTCCTCTTTAGTGTATAACAGGAATAAATACGTTTCCGTACATCAGTGAAAAGATAGATGCAAAAACAAAATGTCCACTACAATGGACATAAATGAATGGGTGGGGTCTCAGGAGGATATATATAAATATTAAAGTAAAAAGAGCTCATGTATCGGAACCTGTATTGGTATCAGCAGTTGTGTATCGGAATTGGATCAGAACCTAAAAAATGTGGATTGGCCCACCTCTAATTATAAATAAAAGTATGAAGCACATAGTTTATCACATGCTTAAAAGACAATATCGGTATGAACTGATAATCAAAAGCAC